GGAAGGAACTACTTGTGCTAGTTATCACTGCTGCACAGCAAAATTACCCCAAAATAATATCTTCAAATTGGTCACCTCACAGTTTCTATGGATCAGGAATCAGGAGCAGCTTAGCTGGGTGGTTCTGACTCAGGGTTTCTCATGCTGTAGCCAGCATGTCAGCAGGTGCTGCAGTCATGAAGGCTTGACTGGGCCTGGGGAATCTGCTTCCAAGGTGGCAAACTCAGTTGGCTGTCCGCAGGAGGCTTCGGTTTATCACTCAAGGCCTCCCCAAGGGGCATGTTGAGAGTGTTCTCACAATATGGAGCTGGCTTCCTTCTATTCAGTGACTGAACAGAGAGTGCAAAGAGGAACCTTCAACACCTTCTACAACCTGCTCTCAGGTCAGAGTCACCCATGACCAACACTCTTGCCATTTTTTGTTCATCAGAAGTGAGTTGTGAGGTGTCGCCTATGTTTAAAGGGGCTTCCAGCAGTTGTTAAACCAACAGCTGATACCTCCTTTTCTCCTCTCCCTCCTACAGACTCTAGGCTCAGAGAAGTCAGGCTTAGTGAGGAAATGGAACAAGCCCTCCAAGGAACAAGTGTAGACACACTGGTCACTGAAGTGCCTTGAACTACAAGTTTGGCAGTTCATCAGAGTGAGAAGGGAAAAGAGGATTTAAATCAAACACATTTTAGAATGGACTGATTTTAAATAGCTGAAAAAGACCTAAAAGTCAGAAAAATTATTCAAGATATAAAAGTACATGAAAAGCAAATTTGCTGCAAAAAATTATTCCCAAGTAGAGATTGGAAGAAAAAACTGCCTCAAGTTTACACTCCTTAGAATTGAGTCTCTTCACTAACACTTGATCCTTATAAAGTCCTTACTATGGGCCAAGTCCTTTTCTAGCCATTCTACGTATAGTCATTCACATAAACCTACAAGGCAATCACTATTTACCACTTTTTACCCTCCCCTTTTATAGTAGAGGAAACTGAAGTACAAGAAATTTGACCAATTTATCCAAGGACATAATTAGAGCTAGCATTTGAACCCAAGCAAATTGGCTCATGAGTCCATGGTTCCTTCAATCATGAAAAACCACTTCTATACAGCATTCTATTCTAGCATGGCTTTCTTTCTTGGGTTTTGTGAAGGTCCTTCCTTTCTCCCTCCCTCCTTCTCTCCCTCTTTCCCTTCTTATTTTCTCCCTCCCTTCCTTCCTGTTTTTCTTTGTAACAAAGAACAGACAATAATTTTATTTACCTCCCACTACTGAACTCATACAAGAGATTAGGACTCAGTTACTATTTATATCCCCATTGCCAACTGTCATGGTCTGTAATTGTGGTGGTCACCATACTGCTATACTACAGCTCATTCATTCTGTCAGAGAAACAGCGTCTTAGAAAACTTTTAGAAGGGTTGACTACAGTTTAAGGTTTGTTCAAGGTGCAGAAGAAAATAGCAGAAGCATTAAGGGCTACATTTTTGTTCTTTCTACACTGTTTGTGGTTAGACTTAGTACCTGGATGTCAGGAATAAAGGCTTTAAAAGTTTTAAATGAGGTACTGGACTTGAATTTCTAAGATGAAATTTTCCCAATCACTATAAAATGTAAATGAAACCACATAAGATCTGACAGTCTGATTTATGCTCTGAGCAGGACCAAGAAATTAGTAATACTTATTTCTTCCTGCAAACACTATACATTTACACATTGATTTGATTCTTATGCTTTTCTTCTAGGTGCTGATTGCATGATGAGGTTTAAGCCCAGGTGGGCATTTCATAAATGTTTTCTGGCAATAAATGAATAGAAGACTCAGTTAATCTTCTATACTTGTCCCACATATATCCAGGATAAAGTGTCTTACATTTTGATTACCACTTGTTTATTTATTATTGAGAGCCACAAGGAGTGACACTCATGGGTCCTGACATCTTAGCAGGATGCTTCTGTGGCATCTAATAGAAACACTGAGTCAAAATGTTTTAAACATAAGGCAAAGGTAGAATATATTTAATTAGGCAACTCACTGGTTTCCTCAAGGACCAAGTGTTTTTTTTTTTTTTTTTTTTTTTTTTTTGTAGTTTTCAACTCTGCCTTACTGAATAGGCAGGCTTTGATCTAAGGTTGGTTTTCCTCTTGTTCACAAAATAGCTGCCAGTGGCAACTGAGATATTTGCTTTCTTATTTGTCCAGAGGAATAGATAGGGAAAAAATCTCCCAAACCATGGACTGTTAAGTTCTTTCCTTCAATGTAATCAAGTCACACATGGGCTGACTGAACCTGGGACATATTCCCTGGAAGTGTGAAGTGACTGGGTACCTGAACACATTGGGGCTCTATTAGAGGGGGGAAGGAGCAAAGAGATGTTGAGGAGGCTTTCCAGCTGGTTCTTTATCTGTAAAATGGAAATAATCATGTAGAGAATTGTGAGGATTATAGAGAATATGTGTAACATTATCAGGTTGTCAGATTTAACAACAACAAAAAAGAGGATGTTGGTGTGCATGCATATTATCCCTGTGCTTGGAAGGATGAGGCAAGAGGATTGCCAGAAATTCAAAGCTAGGTTGAACTATATATAGCAATGCCCTGTCTCAGAAAACAAAACAAAATAGAGGATGTCTAATGAAATTTGAATTTCAAATAAACAGTAGATAATAGTATAAACATGTTTACCTAGTTCTCTGAATTCTACATTTCTACAGTCTTCATTGCTTGAGGAAGGCTAGGCCCAGAAGGCCATTTCATAATTTTTTTGAGACAGGATTTTCTTTTTTAGTGCAGGCTGGTCTTTAACTTACTATGTAGTCCAGGGATGGCTTCTAACTCCCAGTGATCCTCTTGCCTCAGCCTCCTGAGTGCTGGATATTACAGGTATGTGCCACCTCACCTAGTAACACTTTTTTTCCTTTTGTGATGAGGATGAGAAGGCTTATTTAATCTTCTAAAGTAATTAACCATTGTTTATCTGAAATTCAAATTTAATGGGATGTCCTATATTTTATCTGGCAGCTCTAAATGTATATGGAGTTCTCAGCACAGAAGAGCTGTTCCTTCAGTGGTGTTAGTGTTCTTTCCACCTAAGAAAAGACACTGTACAAGGTCCTGAGTTTGATTCCCAGTACTGATTAAAAAAAAAAAGAAAAAAGAATAAAAGACATTGTTACATGGCAACATGATATTTTAAAAACTCTTACTAACCTTCTGGAATGATTATTGTTTTGCTCAAAAGAGGAATTAACTGAACTGTATATGGTTCCAAGAAACTCTGCCCCACTACTCAAAAACAGATGAGAGCAAAGGTCCTTAAGTGGCAGGACATGTGGGATGGCACATTACAAAACATCTAATATTACTATTTAAAGTAAATTGAACTTACATCACTGGATATTTGGGTATCAGTTTTGCCTTGTTTGTTCTGAGGTAATCCAGATATACAATTCTTCATTTGATCAAATGTAATGTTACTGAAATTTCTCATCTGAAGGTGTTCACAGGGGTGAAAATAGAATTACTGCCCCAGGAATTCTGACTCCATGTGGGTGACTTTGCATCACAGAAGGCAGAACCTCTGCAAAGCCCTGTGCTGTTGCCTGTGACTCCATTTTTCCTCACTGCTAATTCACTGCTTCTACCTGTATTATTTCTAACAATTCCAGGAAAGGTGAAGAGAAAGCAGGTACCTTCATTTCCTCACCAAATATTCACTGTTACAAAAAAAAATCTTATTGGCATAGCATTAAGTGACCAAAGCCATTGCTACATATCGTTACCAAATTCAAGGCAGCAATAGATTAAGTGAATTTAATCCCAGATAGCTATTTCCCATTACAATACGGCAGATTTCTAACTGGGTGGTCACTAGGACCTCAGGTATTCCCGTTTTTCGGTGCTTTTTCTAAAAATCCAGAAAACATCCTATTTTTCCTCTTGGCTTATCATTTTAAAAGTATAAATCATTATACAGCTTTATATAATTTTGTTTTCAATGTCTTTGCATCAAATTATTATTTTTTTCTTGATTCTCCAAAAGTGCCATTGAAAAGGTGTATCCCTCCATTTCGTCACTTCTCCATCCTCATCGCAAACTGATCCTATTAAGATCTTCAAATTTCTACCGGACGATGACTTCATTGCTTTCTCGCCCAGCGCCAGCCTGGGATCTCCTATGGCAGAGCATCGGACCAAAGTAGAGCTGTGGGTTGCTGCAGCAGCCGTTTGCATGCGCTCAGTTGCTGTGTAAGGAATCCTTAGGCTGCTAGTTTTTTGCTCCTAAGTCACCCAAGGGATTACAGGCTGCTAGATGAGTGTTCCTGTAACTGGATGTGTGTGTTTGCACGCAAAACTGCAACAGTTAGGCAGTTGCAGCAATGGACTTCGAAACCGTTTTACCGACGACAAAGATAAAACCGTCCTCCATCCTTTATTTGCAAGCATTGCCTCGGTTCATGCCTTAAATGTGCTCACTCCCTTTTCCTGGTCCTCGCCGCGCCCTCCCTCCACGCCGCACGGGTCTCTCCAGAGGGAGGCTAGGATAGCTGCGCTGCAGGCAGGATTCCCCCCTTTTTTTTTCCGCAGTGACAGGCGGATTCTGGGGCCTCCTCATTCCCTCTCCCCACCCTTGCAGCCACCCCCTTCTCAGTCACGATCTTCCCCTGCCCCTCCCCCCCGCGTCAGCTAGGGGCCCGGCCCAGCCCCGCCCCTCGCACCCTCCCAGCCCAGGTTGCTAGGGCCTGGCGGGGCAACCAAACCTAGTGTGCGGGGAGGCGCGGCGCGCGTGCACGCGCGCAGGCGAGTTTGTTCCGGAGACCAGCATTCTTGGACTTCGGGGATTCCAGAACGCACAGCGCGGATGGAGAGCGCGAGCCCGAGCACACGGACGAGCATTCTCTTAGCATTGGCTCCTACCGTAAGTGGGCGGAGCTGAGGCGTGACTGGGCGGGACCCGAGAAGCTTCTCTATTGGTCTGAATGGGCAGGCCGGGGCGGTGCAATTAGCAAATTAGGCTGCGCGTTCGCTCCTGCGAGAGGGCGGGGCCGGAGGTTTCGATTAGTTGTCGCTGCCGCTGGGGAAGGTAAAGCGGAGACGGCGGCCTCAGGAGCTGAGGGGGTCCCCGGCAGGAGGTGGGGGACTCGACGGGGTGAGTAACCGCGCCCGCCCGCAGGCCTTCTTCTCCTCACATTGGCCCCGTGTCCACCCAGCTTCTCCCGGGAGAGAGGACCCACCCGGTCCCCTCAGGCGAACAAGAGAAGGGGCGGCGGCGCCGGTACCTCTAGAACCGGGCGACGCGGCGAGGGCATCCGACCTGGAGCTGCCACTCTACGAAGAGCCTTTGCGCCTTTGGCAGGGGTTCCCCGGAGGCTGGGCTGCGTCTTAGGGTGTGAAGAGGTGGAGTGTGGAAGAGGGGCGACGGGTCGAGGCCGCTCCGTGGGGCTCCCCTCGGCGCCGGGGCTGCGGCGTCCCCGCCCCGTCGCCCTAGCGGCGCGACTCCCCGGGGCTTGCAGCCAGGGGAGCCCGTTACCGCTGGCGCTGAGGAGGAGCTGGAGCGCCGGAGCCCCTGCCCGAGTTCTGGGACAGCTCGCGACGTGCCAGGGGCTTCGGGTGGCGGTCCCGGCCCTCCTGACCTTGGCTGCCCGCAGGGGTGGGCGAACGACTTGTCGCCCAGCGCCGCGGCTCCTGCAGCTTTCCCCGAACAAGTTTCGGGCGTTGCTGTGAAGTTCACGACTGGCATTGGTGGCCAGGAGTGGAAATTGGCCCCTTCTCAGGTCTTCATACCCTTTGGACCTTTATAGAAATCGAATCTTGGGGGTTCAAACCGTCTCCTGGAACGAACAGGTCTTTCTCGCATTGACACGCTTTGTGCCCACGTTGGGGTAAAAAATAACCTGAACATATTTCAGTATAGAGGCAGCTCTTCCTTAAGGGTTTTGTTTTTCGCTTCACTTGAATGTTACTGCACAGATGCCTGAATAAGAAAAGGCTGACCTTAGTATCTCGACAGAGATTAGACGGATGCTGTGATTTAAGTAGTTGCAGATCAGTATTTTGTTAACAATTTATTTTATTTGGCTGCAATTCAAGCTGCTTTTAGAAAGTGTTGTTGGCACAGTAATTTCTTTCGTGCATCCTGAATTAGGTTTGTTTGAATGTAATGCTTATGTAGTTAATATAAAATATTACACAAATTAATTTGTCTGAGAGCTTTGGGCTGAAACAGGACCCATAAATATGTATAATACAGGATTATCATTTTAGGTAACATCTGCTAGAACATTTCTACCTTGTTCATTCTTGCTGTAGGGTTACAAAAAAGATCTTTTTAACCGATAGTGTTTGGAATTACACGTGAATGACATTTAGGTGTTTTTAATTCCTTTAAGTGTTTTAAAATAGGTTATTCATAAAATGTGAAGAGGCTATGTGTACTTGTCCCTATGTGTTTGGTGTTGAAAGAAGGAGAATAATCTTATATTTAACAACTCAATCAGGATCATTAATAATAAAATTTTTAAAAGGGATGCCTTTTTTCGAGCATATATTTAAGTACCTAGCAAGCCCTTTTTTGTTTTGTTTTTATTACAAGTACTGTTTTAGGTTTGGGCATTTTTTGGCGTTGAATCTGGAGCCAGAGTAGAAGCCTGCAGCAGTATTACCAGTTTGACACCACCAGTGGGTGTTTCTGTTGACAAATGCAGAGAGGAGAACATTTGGGAAGGAAATTTTTTTTGGAGGGGGGCGCTGGGGGGTGAGGGGAGGAGTCAAATGAGAAGCTATGGAACTAAAGCTGCCAGCACTGTATATGCTGAGCATTTCACAAGTACAAGGAAACCTAGTTAGAACAACAACAAAAAAAACCCTTTGACTGTATTAAATAATAAAACTCCAAAAGAGGCATACTAAAGTTAACCATTGCAAGAATGTTAAATAATCTGCCATTTCACATCAGTTGGGGGAGGGATGTCCTCAGTTGGAAGGGGTATAAATCCCTTTTAATTGTCTTGCCCTTTTAGCCTAATCAGTGCAGTGGCTAATCTGATATATGGGTACCTAGAAAAACACCTTAGTATCCTAATTAGCATATTTCCTAAACCGAATTTTTGAGAACAAAATTTGATTTATTAAAAATATTAGAAATATTCTTTCTCCACAGAATATTACGTTTTCTGTGTTTAGTCTTAACAGTTTTATTCATGATTGGGGACTTGTAGTAGGAATTTTTTTTTACTCCTCCACTCATTTATTTCTACTTATGGAAGTTTCTTAACTAAATCTGCCATTGTTTTTATTGTAATGTTCTTGAAGTTATTTAAATCAGTGTGGTATCTACAGTGTTCCCTGAGGTTTTCAAAGGAAAGGGTCCCATTGAAAGAAATTACAAGGCTATCTCACATAGACGAATAAGAGAAGGTTGACTGCTTACGAGTCAGATGTGTTCTGTTCCAAATATGCTAAAGGGGGTAAGGCAGTTTCAAATAATGAGAACCAGATTTTACATGGTGTTTTTATTTTGAAGAATACACTTTTCTTATATTACAACCCAAAATATAGAGGTGGAGAAATTCCTTTAAGTACCTGTTTTCCCCTTAGCCTTGGTTTACCACCTTGAACGAGAATCTGTGAGAGACTGTCAATACTAGTTGCATTGTTCAAAATGACAGTGGCTTCTCTTGCAGAAAGTTAACCTTTCATTATGATTTATGTTTCAGTTTGGTTTGTAATAGAAAATTCAGCTATATCTGAGAAATTGAGTGGAGAGAATGTGTAAAGAAGTGAGCAAGGAAAATATGTTTTGAGTCTGTTAAAATTTTACCTTTCCCTTCCTTCCATTTAGAGAACTTTGGCAGTTATCTTCTTTACTCTAGATCTTAGATGGTATGCTAGTATAGTGTTTTCTTTTTGACATTTAGGGTGGGGATACGACTTTTTCATATAATAAATTGATGTTAAATTATAGCTTGCACTTAAGAACAAGAGAATCCACATGCAAAGGAAGTCCTTTATGGATTCTTTATCATTGGTTCAAAAATATCAAAAATTGAAGTGTTAAATTGCTTTTTGAGTAAAAAAGGCTGTTTACTTCAAATTAGTTAATTTTGGATGTTGGAATTTTATTTTTATTTTTGGCAACAATAAATAATTTGGCAACACCAAATTCCTTGATAGAGGAAGAGATAGAATCTGAAAGCTTCTTTATCATCTGATACTGTTGTGTCAGTTGGACCACATACTTCAATTTAGGACAATGATATAATTAAAAGACTAAGCTTAGGGCTGGGCATGTAGCTCTATGGAAGAGCACATGGCTTTGGGTTGATTACCTGCCCTGGGTGCGGGGGCTTACATTTAAACTTTATTTGGAGGCTTTTCTACTTTGCTTTTAATCTTAAACTCAACATTAGAAACCTTTAGTTGATGGTGTACTTTTTCAGACTGGATTTTAACTTTTAATAGTTTTCAAGAATGTTTTCTTTATATATAGCAGTATATGGGTAACTGAATTACTCAAAGATCTGGCCTCAGTTGAGTTTGTACATTTCTTCATCCTAAGATGTAAACTTGGGTATAGTTCTGTCAGTGAATGTGAAAGCTGAGAGGGGAGACCTTTTACCTAAAAAGACTTAAAACATTTACACTATCATCTGATAGTGTTATGTCATCTGGACCACACATTTCAGATTTGGGAATTAACAGAAAATTATTCATTAATTTAAAAAGACCTAGCTCATTCAAGTCATTGAAGTTGACTGTCAGCACTTTGAATTAAGCTCTTAGAAATATTTGTGTGTGGACAATAATTCTAATCAGGGTCAAATTTTGGGTGTGGTCTCTCTTTTGGGTAGTCTTCTCTGTGATTCTTACAAGATCGCATTTATTGAGCCTTACTGAATACCAGCTACTGTGGCAAATCGTTTGCACGAAAACAGGTGTGTGTGTATTCTCAGCATCTCTGTGAAGTAGGTGTTTTTCTTTTTTCCCACATACATGTCAAATGGGCTGAGAAATAATTTGCACAGATTAGCCAGCTAGTTAGCAAAACAGGCAAAATTGCCATCCAAACCAGTCTGACTTGAAGCTGTGCTCTTCCAAACCATGCTTTCTGCTTCTCCTTAGGAATCGGATTCTCCAAGCATGTTTTGAGTTCCTGTTGTATTTTGTACCTGGGGAGCTATAAATATGCTTTTTGGATTTGACCAGGTACATTGGCAAGGCTACTTGAACATTAATGACATAGGGGGCTGGAGTCAGATCTATCAGGACTGCTGAAAGTGTCAACCTGAAATGTCGACTTTTTATATGCAAGGTCGTTAGTTCAGTTTCTTCATAAATGAAGGTTGCACACCATCATTTATGCCCCCAATGAAGTAACGGTTTCTAATTAACCACTTGATATTTCATGTTGCTGCATGTTCCATTTTAACTTTTGACTGACTTTGATTAAATTTGCTACACTAATAAAAGCTATGAAGATACTCCTTGAATTCAATTTTCTGATTTAGATTTATTTTTAAAGTAAAATGAAAGCCGTTACAATTTATAGACAGTCATCTGGTGTCTATAATTATAACGACTTCAGTAAAGTAAAATATAGAAATGATGTCTGCAGAAATGTATTATTGTTATGTACATGGAAGTTGGACTCTGATAAAAACTTTTCTACTTAAAAGTAGAATTCTTAGGGCTGAGATGTCACTTAGTAGTAGAGTACTAGCCTCAGTGAGGCCACAGGTCTGATCACCAGCACTGTCACGCCACAACAAAACAAAACCCAGAATTTTCTGCCCCTTATAATTGATTTGTTTTCATTTTGTTTAGATTCATTAAAGAAGCAAACAGTTGTTCAGTCTGAAAGAACAGCTAGAGGTCCATGTTAGGGAGGAAAAGGACTTAACCTCTTTTTCTGTAATTGATGAAAATAACTTCTGTCACTTATACAGTTAAGACATAGTGATGAGTATTGTAGAGCTTCTGGCCAGAAATACTCTTGACCAAGCTGTGATGGATATTTTATACAGATGTGGCCTACACTGAAGTTTTTTGTTGATTTTTCTACTAAGTATGGTTTTCCACTATACATTTTCACAGCTTTATTGAAGGATCATTTACATACCATAAAATTCATCCTTTTTTTATGTTGTCAAT